GCTTGTACCTAACTGCATCCTGGTTACAGTAATCACCGGTAAGTCGAACTTCGCAACAAAGATTGCCCAGATTACGGAGTTCTTCTGTTTGAAACTTTAATGTCATCCGCGAAGCTCATTGCACTGAGAAAGACAAAAAGAAAGTGATGAGAACGTATTGTCGATTCGCGGGGAGAAAGGCAATTCCCGAACCCAACTTGGGTAAATAGTCTCACGCCTCAGGCGCGCCTAATTGCAACCTAATTGGCAGTAAGTAATTTGGTAGCAATTGCTGAACGAACTGCGCGCTATCAGTAAGTAGCCTCGTAGATGCGTGTCGATAAGGGCCATTTATGAGAAGAGCGACGGCAGCATGCATGTGCTACCGATGCACTGAACTAACATAATGTCCACATAGGTGGTGCACACCTTCAGTCACGCGATGACAATTCATGTACTTAATAAGTAGGAAATAGGTGGTAAGTACGTGTTGTCTGACTCTAGAAGGTATTAGCCTACCATAAAATTATATTTGGCGAAAAGACGCGAAGCTACCTGTGTCTAATGAACAAAAGTTGGGACCCTAGGAGACAATTAATAAATCATGATATTTTTTTTAGTTAAAGGTGTGGGAGTTACAATTCTTAGTTTCGGGGCAATCCTGACCTCGTGGTTAGAAGCTTTGAAACCCGACTATTGCGTACCAGAAGGCTGATGCATTATAATCGATATGACTACTTGAGATTGATCCAAATCCGCGGAACTTGCAACCAGATGCGTGCAGGCACGCGCGCCGTTGACAGAACGGTTTTAGCAGGGATGTACAGCCTGTCTTTAAGCCAGATTTAGCAATTGGAGATGAACAGAATGGAATCACACGTTTCAGATACTTCAACGACGGGTCTAGACGCGCACTCTATGCTCTAGTGGACGGAGGTCTTCAAAAGGTGAACATGGCGGGGATACGAGAAGGAGATGTCCGAGATATGATGAAATTCAGTCACCATGATCGACTATGACGTTGAAATTCCATGATGACTGAGTCATTTCCCTAGAAAACAGCATGAACCATCGTTTCAATGGTCATCAGCATGAGTGGAGCGCGCTAGATTCGAGTCATCGGTGGTTCCTTGCGCTTATTACGTATGTAGTTTCTGATTCAATCCCGGAGAGGCGTTGGAGCATTAGACGAGGCTGGAAGAATTGCCAGAACGTTACCTATGTTCTTCCGCATCAAAGAAAGCCCACGGTATACCTGTAGATCATCACACGGTCCCATACGCGACGCAAGGCTCTTACTGCCAGGGGTACAAGAACTCTGAAGGACCTCCGACTGGTAGATCCAACAAATCCGAAATGAATTGCAATAATCTGGACGATCAGACAGTAGATTGAACCTATCTCGTTGCATTGATCGGACAGCGTATATTGCTATGACGCGGGAAAGGAATGGAGGTGAAAGCGCCGTTTCTTGGTCGTGATAGTTCGGAGTCGCGTGGCTATCAAATCTGTCGGAGTTAACTATGATCGGCCCGCCAACTTTTTACCTGACAGGAACGTCATTTCGTTACTTGACAGATCATGCAAACTAGATGAAGTTGCTTCTTCCACGCACTACCACACCTTCGGACCCCGACCTAGCCCTGAGACCTGCATCCTCCCAGTGATCTCAACCGTACTAACCACCTCGAAGAAAAAGCACCGTGACCCTCCAATAGTTGAAGCTGCTTGGCTTGACGGCCACTCTTGTTCGGAGTTTGCATCGTATGTATATTACGATGACGGATCAGATTTACTAGATTTACGCTCCTTTGTACAGCCATTACAGCCGTTCCCAAGTTGCGACTGGATATCAACAATCAACTCCTTGACGGATTCGATGAAAGATCGCCATTGCAATATCATCTTTTATTACTAGGCAGTGCGGTTAGCGCGCCAGGCCGACTATCAATACAAATATGGCGTGTTGATTATTGATTTTCGTGTATTCCGATGTTCAAGTTTCATGCTGTACCGGATTCTGAAACTTCGTCAGCCTTGATCTTGACTACACTCGTCTTATACTTGTGAAAGCATGCCAACAACAGGTCACGCACTACATCAACAACAGGGTATAAAGGACGGTGGGTTAGATGGATATTTCTTCACTACACTACTTTCCTCTCTAGCCCGGTGCCAGAATAAAGAGCAACAGACTCGTTCATAATTAATGTCTTTCAAACACTTTCTTTCGACCGCATCCCTCAAAAATATTATGTGCGTTTTATTTCGATTTTTCACTCAATGAATAATGCTCACGACGGGTCTAGAATCGTTCTCAAACGAGACTACTTTAGGTTCGCGTTCTGTTCAACTATAATATTATCCATCGGCTTTCTTGCTAACGGAGTCCTTATCAGTCCTTCGAAGCCTGGTCAAGGGTACGCCGGTTCTATTATATCAGATATATGAACTCGTCTTAGCTGGCGCTTAACAGATACATTCCCCGCGGAAAACAAACCAACACTAGTCAGGCTTCCACTAAGCCTGGAGGTGGGCCCAAGCATGGGGGCAGATAAAGATCGACTATCATCAGCCTTGCAAGTACGAGATACTTATTAATGCCTTATAACTCACACTCCCTTCGACCTACAAATCTGTTCCCTAATTAATTGGCACTTCTTTATAGTTATCATATAATCTTAGAGTTACGTATCCCCTTCGTTTCGTTTCTGTATGGTCCCAGAAATGGCTTCAATGGTTGTTAATGGAGTACCTTTACATGCATCTCCGTCGGAAACGCGCGCCTCCCTGGAGCTTACCTTGTAATCCTTTCGTCGCAATGCACTTCCTTGACTAATGTTTATAAAACAGTGGTATAGCCCTGACAACGGATTAAGCTTCTATTGTTGAGTCACCGAGTCCCACTGGCGGATATTGATGGTACGAGTAAGGGAAAAGGGAGTCTATTAAACTAGTGTTCTTCCTGTCGTTGACAGCAATATATCGATCTGATTTATTCGCTGAATGTAGCGTTCGAAGTACAGATATATTTTCTCAAGGAAAGTGTAGAATAAAGTAGCTTACGCAGTGCACGCTTGTCTCCTGAGGCTGGAAAAGCGCGTCATAATAGTCATAAGTATACGGGCAGTCGGAGTAAAAACTCGAAGAAAACGTACCTTGTTCTGTGAGGCGACCAAGGAATGCGGATAAGAGTGTGGCCCATATATCGATGTATATGTATCTATCGCGTAGCTGAAACCGTGAAACGCGAAAGAATTGAGCTGAAGACGCGTCGTTTGCTTTGCAGGATAAGTAATGGTATGGTGATCGGCCCGCAAGACCGGGCCCGAGCTACTTCGCAAAAGACAACCATCACCGGCACATACTTATGTACTGGTTTCATCCGCTGGGACGTCAACATCCCTAGAAGGCCTGGATGTTATCTGCTGCTCCTTAGAAATCCTTCACCACGGCTCATGCTTGATTCGGTAATGTCAGAAACCGACACCCAGTAGACTTCACGAACGGCTCAGCAATTACAGTTACTTGCCAACGTATCTATGGCACAAGAAGAACGATCCGATGGCGCACTGGTAAATCATCCTGGCTCCGACACATTTATCATGAGAGGTCTGCATACTAGGATCCCTCTCTTCGATGTATCAAATCTGCCTGTATATTCCCCTGGCGTCCTTCGTAGTACTCTGCCGATGTCACCATCAAGCATCCACTCTGTCTTAGCATCTCGGCCTCGCGACACACAGAATGACGGCGGGAAGTCGGCAGCCTTACATATGCTGATTTCGTTGTCATCAACGCACACCCGGCGATACACGTTCCACGCGCTACGGATTTACAGTGCGGCGTTCTCTGATTCCGATGTAAATTCTGACGGGTTCACTTCTCACAGCGTATGCTGAAGCGGTTTGTTGCCTGATTACATCCGACTTGTAGCATGCCAGAGATGAGATGTACACCAAAAATCGATATACGCCGCGGCGATAAAAGACGGCACACGAGGTGGGCTTTTCTTCACTGCACTACTCTCTTTTAACTCAACGCAGCTCAAGAACCAACTGAACCTACCAAAGACATGCAATTCAACGTCTTCAAACACCGCCGAGGCATTTCTGCATCCGCACGGTGTCATTTCGTTTTCACCTCACAGACTTCTACGTTCCTCGCGTAAAACAGACCAGAAGGCTTGGGCACTGTGCTTTAAGCTCAACTTCTAGTATCTTATATCGGTCTATCATACTCCCTTGCCATTTGTTATCATTAACACTCGGTCTTTCTTTACCGTATAGCTATGGATGTATTTTTCACTTATCTTTTCAGCAAGAGCTTCGTGCGCTTTTCTTGATTGATACTACTAGACCGGAGTCAGAGTACTTATATCCGTACAATTTTATATTAAGACCACCTACTACGTGGGGACTCATCAGGATTTCTGAACGCAATGAAGAAGGCTATGCTGGTGTCGCCGTGCAGGATACTTGTCCCTTCAGGATTTTATAATGGATTGAACTCCACAAATATAGACGTCCATGTATCTTCTATAGCGTCAGCGACACAAGTGAGGGAATATGCAGCAGAACCGATCTCTCGTCCGTCGGTTTGCGGGAAAAATCTACGAACTGGAAAGTGACAGACCGTTATGGTATTCTAGAGCTGTTCTTCGGGAAAGTGCCGAGCTAATACGTCCCTCAAGCCCCGCTCCATGACATTTCACCGGGCCCTGACCTAGAGCTGTTATAGAATAAGATGTTATTAGGTAGTTCGCCTTAAGTTTTGGAATTGGTACGACAACAGATATCCGGTGCGTCGTCGAACGTGTGGGTGGTGGTAGGTGACATCCTTATTAGGTGACTCGTCAGTCATAGATGAGACAGACTGGTTTTCTAGGGACTTCCGCGCCGGCTAGGCAGCTCCACTTTCGCTTGGCTTATTTTCTGTGATCTCTCTGGCGTGGACCCAATACCAGGGAACTTCTGGGGGACAAAGCGGCAATAATACAGCACCGTAGGACTGCAAAATTATGACAAGGATGGGATTCGAACCCACGCCCTTTCGGACCAGATATTTGCTTAGACAGAAACTGCCATGGCCCTCATGTTGATAGAAACTGATGTTTCTCACGTTTTCCTTAGTCTGGCGCCTTAGACCGCTCGGCCACCTTGCCGCAGAATACAACCTGATGATGTTAGTTCCATTTCAAAGTGCCAGATATGCCATTCAAATGGCAATTCGGTCGTTCGGAAGGCGGGATGGGGGAGAAGTGATCGACAACGTGGCACCGATCACGCAAAATTTTCGGTTGCCCAATTGGGAATTTTATTTAAGAAAAGTAACATTCCGTAAGTAGTAGAGGTTTTGAAATGAACAGACCTCCCCGAAGCTCGAAGAAAGATTCTGGGAACGTGTTCTGTTTAGGATATCTCTGTGGGACGACCGAAGCCGGATGGCCGGGACGGAAACCCCAGGACAACAAGGACATACAATGCCTCTTTCAACGATTTTCGATGTTGCAGTTCTTCCTCCACGACCATCAGACTTTATGCTCCTCCAATTGCCAGTAGAGCTTCTTCTCAAGATATCTGAGCTGGTGAACACCTCGATTTTCTCACCTAACCTTTCTGACTACTTTTCTGTAGCTCAACCATGGAAGCCAGAAGAACCTTCGTCTTGTCTGCAAGTCGCTCAACGACGCCGCTATCGAGCTTGTTTTTGCGACTTTTAGCATAACTTTTACTGAAGATGCCTTGCTGTCGGATCGGGCCATGCTGAAGGCGCTGGCGATGCACACTACGGATATCTGGAGATACGTCAAGGTGCTGCGTCTGGTCCAATCTCCACGTCTGGTGTCGCCCTTTGCAAATGGAAAAATGCCCCAAAAATCAATAAGGGATGTTGCAAGCGGATTGTACAAGGCGATTGCGTCGTTGGAAAACATCACAACTGTCGAGTGAGTCTTAATCGACTTCTTCTAGGCCTTGAGCCAATTTTCTTGCAGCTGGTTTAGTGTTAAACCCGTCGACGACACCATCATCGGGGCTGTGATATCAAGTATCTGTCGACTACCTTCTCTTCGAACGTTCATACTGTACATGGCGAACAGGATGCGCAGTCAACTCCCTCGCTTTCACCTGAAGAACCTCACATCATTGGATCTTTCGTTCAGCGGACCGTCCTGGGATGAATTTCTCCGTGATAGCCTGCCCGGTATCTTGGAGAATTGCCCCGACTTATCTTTTCTTTCTCTGGCCGACCACACGGCAGGCCCCGCAACTACATTGGGCAGCTTATTTCAAAACCTCCGCCGTCCATTGCGATTGGAGTCGCTAGTCCTCTGCAAGATACGCGTCCCGCCGTCTATCATCCTCGTTCCTCATTTCCAGTTCCTCACAGTCCTCGGTGTTGCACCTTCTGGAATGATTCCACCCAAATTCTGGTCCGGCTTACACAACGTTCATCTCCGTTCCCTCAATATTGATGATGTCAATGCGGAACTTTTGGAATATCTGTTGTCATACACCGGCGTGGAGGAATTCAGATTCCAGGTGCCTGAAGATAATGCGGAGTACGACGAGCTTGGGACCAAGTTCTTTTCTCAAGTCTTACCTCATCATTCTGCGACGTTAAGGATACTGAATATCCGACCGAGGTTTGAGGGGATGTGGTCTTTCCAGGAATCAGCTATGTTGCCCATCCTACAGTGTCGCAATCTGGTCTCTCTCTGGGTGTCTTTGCGCTTCTCAGATATTTCCGACCCCACTGGTCCGGGCGTAGTCGTCAGTCGAGGTTCCCCTTTGATTTTATCAAGCATTCGCTGATTTCTCTTACTAGGCGTACCTGTTACACTCCCTCAAGTTGTTGCCCGACGTCTCCACTCTTTATTTGGAGTGCCCCATGTCTTTCTCCCCGCGTTTCCCCCCGACTACCGACAGTCGCTGGAAAGGCAAGCATATGCTCGGGCAGGCGATTGAGGCTGTCAACACTATACCCAACCAGGATCCGTATCGCGCCCTTCAAATTAGGGTTGAGCCGTTCGGCGGAAAGTATAGAGCGCATTGGAACGTCGAGAGTGGCTTCTCCGCCTTCTATGCTGAGACTCATGATACTGACGGGATTACTGTTCGGATTCCATTGCATATTTAAGAGATTACCTGAGCGTGTATGTAAAATAGAAAGGCAGGAGTGTAAAGAATACAAATTATTTAGACAATATTTTATGCAACTACCGTGTCCCCGTCAGCGTCTTTCTCATGGTTCTGTTCTAGTGTTTTCGTCTTGTCCTGAAGGAGTAGCGTAGGATGGAATATGTTGAACGTATAAAGTGCGAGTACAATCATCGTTCCATCGAGCACATCTAGTCATTCGATGAGGTGACAATAACCCAAAGATAAGACACAAAGCCTCACTGAAATAGACCTCGGTGGTAATGATTCTTCCCGTCCACCCATCAGACAGCTCAATCGTACGATATACAGCTCTGCTCTACTGTCAATTCGGCTGCCATGTTCCAAGACAAAGAAGACGTACCGAATAAACAGACAAACCGTACTGAAGGCGAGAGCTGCAGTGAGGAGTTTCAATTTCGTGTTCAAGTGACCTCTGGCGATGTCGCGTCCGCGAATAGGCTTATCAGCCAAGTATCTTATGAGGAACTCGCTGCCCAAGATGGAGTATATCGTGATGACAGCTGCTTCATGTTAGAGAGAAGGTCTTGTAAATGATGAATCGATGAACGTACCCATTTGGAAGGCAATACCGCCTAGCATGATATGTCCTCCCTGTGGAACCACCAAGAGTTAAATTTTTGTCCAGCGAAAAGATAAATCCTGATACACCTTTTCCGGATCTGTGTCCTCAGATACAGCCGTTGCTGCCAATCCACCACCGATAGCTTGTATCACGAGAGATATTACATCGCAAGAACAAAAGAGAATAAGATCTAAAGAAGCCCGGAGAATGAGTTAAGCAAAAAGAAGATTCGTAGGCAAAAATACACACATGCCCTTGGACTCAAGCGACTGTACCCGACTCCGAGACGCTTAATCAGCTTCTCGAGGATCACAAAATTGGCGGCCAAGAGCGGCGTCGGTGCCAAGATGGTGCAGGTCAATCTACTCTCATATTAACCAAAAGTTCTCCGGGACTAGTCCGACTGGACTGGCAGTGGACCTACTGCATCTCGTAAGGATCTGGGAGCCCAGGGTTGGAACTTGACCATAGCCGCGCGCTCCACCCCAGAATCTCGAGGAGGCCGCACAGGACTGCGGTAGCCAATAACCACCATGCCCGAGAGAAGACCGCTTGACCAGTGTGTATTACTGCAGGCGAGTGAGATAGGTGCGTGTTGAACACGAGATGAGGACATACGGGTTGATACAGAGAAAAGGACCAAGAAAAGTATTGAGATCCCTCTGTCGGGAACATATCCATAGAAACTGTCCACTACCATGGCACGTTTGCCAAAATCTAGTACTGCAAGACCAATGGGTCAGCACAAGGGATGCTGGATGGATCAAGAGTGACTTGCCTTCGTATAGTATCATGTACATAATGTGAGGTGGTTGTTGAAATAGAAGCAGACGCTCTCCTTCTCTTATAAGCTCGCCAAGCTGTCGTGCGGCTTGGGTGAAACGAAACGAAATGGAGGACTTACGGAAGGGAATACAACGAGTGATTAAATCATCGTGCCGCGGGCGGGTGCCTATGTGGCTGAATCATCAAGCCACATTGGCGACGGGTACAGATCCCTCAAGATCCCAATGGATTCAATGGATACCTTGAACATGTCACTTTCAACTGCAGCTGCGTTTTTGCGCAAGGAATGATCCCAAAATGACCGAACGAAAGCTTCAAGAGGAACATTACCAGCGTAGAGAGGTAGTCGGTAGTGAAGCGTCTAGCAGAGTCTAGAATATACGTACGTCGACGTCAAACAAACCTGAAATTGAAAAGGCCGGATCGAGCAGGAAAATCAATTATCAGTGCGAAATTTCGAAAACCTGCTCCCGCGGCCCGCGGGTTAATTGTCCCACGGGTGATGACGCACATCCTTTGACATTCTTGCCCGGATCCATCTTCGTCCATTCTCAGTTCTGAGTGGATTCAGGACTATCTTTGGTAGAAGATCTCTGTATTTTACTATAAGATGCTAACCACTAACCCGACTTTTCTTACTTGCGTTAGGTTACAGTATTGTCAAGCGCCGCTCGTATCAATTGTCAAACTTACTGGCGCGCCATCGCGTTAAAGCCGTCAAGTTTTATGCCAAATCAGATACTCAGGAGGCAAGGACTATTCTTCATAAGTGTAAATTCCATCTTCTAACATGTCAGTACACCTAGGACTGAATACAGCTGAATACACTCACGTTACAGATCCCAATCAGTCGGAAAAATGAACACTAGCCTTCTAAGACTTCCTTTTCTATTATCAGCAACCTATGGTGTCCACAAATCAATGACACCAGCCTCATCTAGCGCCTGCAGAAGAGCGTCTCCCCATCAAAGGTCTAGATATCGAACGAGCAGCACCTGCCTTTGCCGTCTTCACCAAGGTCGGTCATAATCTAGCGCGTGTACCAGTTTTTCTCCGTACTCTTCGCCCTGAAATTTAGTAACCATCTTCATCCTTTAGGTAACGTTTTACTTACTCTGTGCGACTGAAACGCTTGCGATCCTCTCCGCCAACGACCTGTTACCTATCCGATACGTCCCCCTCCATCTCATGCCATCCCTAAACCTCCCCCTTCGTCTCACGAAGCCCTACCTCTTTTTTTGGTCCTGCGCGATCCTCGGGTCATCTCTACGCGTGTGCTGCTACCGCATAATGTCCTCGTTCTTCACGTTCGAACTAAGCATCCGGAAGGATCATAAACTCATCACCCACGGACCATACTCTATCGTCCGTCACCCGAGCTATGTTGGGGCAATGCTATGCGGTATAGGCGCCGTGGGCTGCCATTTGAGCAGAGGGTCGTGGTTGTCAAGCTGGATTAATACCACGCCAGTGGGATGGTTATCAGCTTGGACTTTCACGATGGCGTTAGTCCGTATTGCCTTGGTTCCAAGGATGAACAAGGAGGATAAAATGCTCAAGGATGCCTTTGGAAAGGAGTGGGAAGATTGGGCACGGAGAGTACCGTGCAGACTTATTCCATGGGTATATTAA